TTCCTCTTTGGACGGTCGTTCTGGATGCGGGGGCGCTTCTCCAGCCTCGCTTGAGAACGTCGCTGTGATGGGCCGCGTGCCTCATGATCGGTAACGGGTCGTGCGATGCAAGACTGATGCTGAGCAAGCTCCACTGTCTCTGCTGCCCAATGTTCGTGGTGCAGAGGCGCAGTTGGCTTGTGCTCAAGTTTGTTTCGGGTGGACCTTCTCTGGGCAAGGGCAAGCTGATGTGCTGCGGGTGAGGTGAGCCTGGCTGGAGTGCATGTTGCTGCAGCTTCGCAGTCTGTTGGTTTTCGTGCTCAGTCGATCAGCGTACCATCTGAGGCTGCACTCTTGGCGGGCAATGACGAGACTCACCATTGCATAGTTCACTCTGACTGGGAAGTGACGACTCCCATCACATCTTTCGCTCCTATCCGAGCCTCCGCGTGCAGCAGGTGGGCGGTTCCTCTTTGGACGGTCGTTCTGGATGCGGGGGCGCTTCTCCAGCCTCGCTTGAGAACGTCGCTGTGATGGGCCGCGTGCCTCATGATCGGTAACGGGTCGTGCGATGCAAGACTGATGCTGAGCAAGCTCCACTGTCTCTGCTGCCCAGTGTTCGTGGTGCAGAGGCGCAGTTGGCTTGTGCTCAAGTTTGTTTCGGGTGGACCTTCTCTGGGCAAGGGCAAGCTGATGTGCTGCGGGTGATGTGAGCCTGGCTGGAGTCACGATCGGTAGCCTGGGTGGTCCTGGCATGCATGTTGCTGCAGCTTCGCAGCCTGTTGGTGTTCGTGCTCAGTCGATGAGCGTACCATCTGAGGCTGCACTCTTGGCGGGCAATGACGAGACTCACCATTGCATAGTTCACTCTGATTGGGAAGTGACGACTCCCATCACATCTTTTGCTCCTATCCGAGCCTCCGCGTGCAGCAGGTGGGCGGTTCCTCTTTGGACGGTCGTTCTGGATGCGGGGGCGCTTCTCCAGCCTCGCTTGAGAACGTCGCTGTGATGGGCCACGTGCCTCATGATCGGTAACGGGTCGTGCGATGCAAGACTGATGCTGAGCAAGCTCCATTGTCTCTGCTGCCCAATGTTCGTGGTGCAGAGGCGCAGTTGGCTTGTGCTCAAGTTTGTTTCGGGTGGAACTTCTCTGGGCAAGGGCACCGGAGTTGCTGCTGGTAGGTGACCCGCTGGAGTCACGATCGTTAGCCACCGGTGGTCCCAGCAACGCTGTTTGCTGCAGCTTCACAGCCCTGTTGGTTTTCGTGCTCAATCGATCAGCGTGCCTCTGAGCTGCACTCTTGGCGGCAATGACTAGACGCAACATTGCATAGTTCACTCTGACTGGGAAAGTGGACGAACTCCCATCAACGATCTTTCGCTCCTATTCCGAGCCTCCGCGTGCACAGGTGGGCGGTTCCCTATTGACGGCGTTCTGGATGCGGGGGCGCTTCATCCAGCTCGCTTAGAATCTCGCTGTGATGGGCCGCGTGCCCTCATGAACGTAACGGGTCGGCGATGCAAGACTGATCTGAGCAAGCTCCACTGTCTCTGCTCAGCCCAAATGTTCGTGGTGCAGGAGGCGCAGTTGGCTTGTGCTCAAAGTTTGTTTCGGGTGGACCTTCTCTGGGCAAGGGCAAGCTGATGTGCTGCGGGTGAGGTGAGCCCGGCTGGAGTCACGATCGGTAGCCTCGGTGGTCCCGGCACGCATGTTGCTGCAGCTTCTCAGCCTGTTGGTTTTCGTGCTCAATCGATCAGCGTGCCATCTGAGGCTGCACTCTTGGCGGGCAATGACGAGACTCACCATTGCATAGTTCACTCTGACTGGGAAGTGACGACTCCCATCACATCTTTCGCTCCTATCCGAGCCTCCGCGTGCAGCAGGTGGGCGGTTCCTCTTTGGACGGTCGTTCTGGATGCGGGGGCGCTTCTCCAGCCTCGCTTGAGAACGTCGCTGTGATGGGCCACGTGCCTCATGATCGGTAACAGGTCGTGCGATGCAAGACTGATGCTGAGCAAGCTCCATTGTCTCTGCTGCCCAATGTTCGTGGTGCAGAGGCGCAGTTGGCTTGTGCTCAAGTTTGTTTCGGTGGACCTTTCTCTGGCAAGGGCAAAGCTGATGTGGCTGCGGTGATGTTGAGCCCGCTGGAGTCACGATCGGTAGGCCCTGGGTGGTCCTGGTAACAGCATGATCTGCAAGCTTCGCAGCCTTGTTGGTTTTCGTGCTTCAGCGTACCATCTGAGGTGCACTCTTGCGGCAATGACGAGACTCACCATTGCATAGTTCAATCTGATTGGGAAGTGACGACTCCCATCACATCTTTCGCTCCTATCCGAGCCTCCGCGTGCAGCAGGTGGGCGGTTCCTCTTTGGACGGTCGTTCTGGATGCGGGGGCGCTTCTCCAGCCTCGCTTGAGAACGTCGCTGTGATGGGCCACGTGCCTCATGATCGGTAACGGGTCGTGCGATGCAAGACTGATGCTGAGCAAGCTCCACTGTCTCTGCTGCCCAATGTTCGTGG